GAGAACGCCGTGGTCGCCATTCGCTACATCGTGGGCGCCATCAAACGGCAATGGCCGGGAAATGCGCCCAATCTGCCGGAGCTGCAGAAGCAGTTGGACGAGCTGGTGGACGCCGTGACCGCCTTCAGTCAGCTGCTTCGCGAGGTCCTCCACCAGCAGGTGGACACCCGAAGCTTCACCATGCCACTAGGGCCCGCAGCGGTGTCCTACTACGCCTACCTCCTGCCGCCGCCCACTCCGCGAATGAAGTGGTCCTCGCTGCCCGAGTATGTCGACGACCTGGAGGCGCAGATGCTGAAGCTCTTTGACGTCCAGGCAGGTCCAGAGGCCATTGAAGACGTACCTGAAAACGAAGAGGAGAATGAAGAGTATCTGCGCGGATTGAAAGAAGACTTCTGTCTGGCCGTCCAAGCGATGGTCATCTCTCTTGGACAGGCAATCGCCGAGCTGAAGTTTAACTATCATTTTATTACCAAAAAAGCTGACACTGAGGATGAAAAACGAGAGGGCAAACGTGTAGCTGAAGATTTCAAAGTGATGGCAGAAGAGTCCTTTCTGTTCTACTTGACGGAATGGAATAGAGGCTACCCGCACCTTGATGTTAACTCGATCTAATCAGACAAGTCTTCTTCTCATCAACATCAGTTTCCTTATCAGCGCCTTAATCTCAATCTTTAACTACCTTTCCAGTTTTTCTACTTTTTGTACTTTTCTATCTTTTTTATTAATTCAAAATTTCTAGAGATTTTGCTGCATTTTGTACTGTTTAAAATTACTTTTTCTAAAAAATGATTAAATTAAAAGTTTTTACTAAAGAAAGAGAGAGAGAGAGAGAGAGAGAGAGAGGAATAAAGAAAGAAAAAAGAGAAAGAAAAAGAGAGGGAGAAAGAAAAAGAGAGAAAAAGAAAGAACTCATACTGGCTGGCTGCAGCACTATCTTCATCTGGTGATGACACTGAACAGTCTGCCCCTCCTTTTTCCTCTTCTCTTTTTACTATTTCTTAGTCATGCAAAACATAGCAACGTGGCAGATCAATTGTGGCGATCACAAAAACAGCAACACCAGCACCAGTAACACCAACATTGAAACTAATTGAAGTTCCAAAATTAGCAGCAGCAAATGGCAAACGCCAGCATTCCCAGTAACGCCATTTGGCTGATTTGGTTAGCCGCAAAAATATACGCTTTTGCCGATTTGCAACTAGCCATTTTCGCCCTTAATGACCAGACTGGAAAGTGGTTTCCTACAAAGATTCCCAGTGATGGTGGTAATCTTTAAAACCTTCCTCCGATTTTTTCGTTTTTTGGAGGCAACCGAAAAAAGCAGTTGAAAGCGTTGGCCACTTTGCGACAATTGTCACGCCGTCCGGTTAGTGGTAACAGTAATCAGTGATGTTTTTTCTTTTATTGATGGATTTGTACGCTGATTTATGAATTGGGAAAATGTATGTATTTATTATACGTTTGATTTTTATTATGATCACTGACCACTGATNCACTTTGCGACAATTGTCACGCCGTCCGGTTAGTGGTAACAGTAATCAGTGATGTTTTTTCTTTTATTGATGGATTTGTACGCTGATTTATGAATTGGGAAAATGTATGTATTTATTATACGTTTGATTTTTATTATGATCACTGACCACTGATGTCCTCACTAAATAAAATGCGATGAACTGTTTTGGTTGACTATGAATCTACGCTGGTCAGTTGCCTTGAGCTGTATTGTCTTCTTCTTCTTCTTCTTCTTCTTCTAATTCTGGGTAGACTGCTTGTGCATTAAGTAGTGCTATTAATGAATAGCTTTTGATATGGCCATTGCAAAAAGAAAAAGGGTGCAAATAATTACACAGACAGTAATGTTGATCCTTGTTAAGTGGGGAGCTTCGAAAGCAATAAATAGCCTTTTACGATCACCCGAGCGTCATACTGAATGACAAAGCCTCCTTTTTTTGTTTTTTGACGTCCGCCATTTGACACCACCACACTTCAGGCACATTTGAAATGAGGCACAGTTGACCTTTTGAAGACATGAACTAAAACAGTGAAAGTCACCAAAAAATGTCTGTTTTATTTTTTCTTCCTCCGTCTGCTTTTGAGTGTAATGTGCGTCTGCACACACGTGTCTTCAATTAACTGTGCTGGCAAAACAGTAAACAGTGAACAAACGGAGGGGGACATCGGGCACAAGGGACGGCTGAAAACTGACACTGCAGTAGGAAGATGACACAATACACACACTTGTGGAGGACATTTGGGCGGCAAAGACAGCACAGCATTTAAGGGGCCGCTGATTGATGGTAGCTGAACCACTAAAGTCTCAATGGCGAGAAAAAGACCACTTGTTGCACCAAAGCAAGACTGTTTCTGTGACAAAATGCGGCAAAAGCTGCACTAGTGTGTGTCACCAAAAGAGAAAAAGAGAAAAAATGCAAAGGAACAGACTATTTTGGGCAGTTAAGCAATCGCTGCTACAAACAACATTTTCCCACAACCATCATCTAACCTTTTATAGCTTTAGAAAAATCAGAAATTGAGTTATTTTCAAAAGGTCTCAGTCTCAGAGAGGTTTCACACACAAACAAAAAATCAAACAGGCAATCACTGCTCAATAGTTAGAGAAATCCTTTGTTGTTCTAGCATTCATTCAATCAAGTACACAAAAGGGTAGTAGAATTTACATTAGAGAGCAATCAGCAAAGGCTGGAGTGTCGATGCAGCACATAGCAGATTTTTGCAGTAATTTTTCTACCTGATGAAATTTTCCTTAAAGAAGACGTCAAGGACTACGTTTCAGCTAGGGGCGCCTCATGAAGAATAGCCTTTATTTCAGCAATTTCTCAAACATTAGCCGCAGCATAGGCAGTGGCAGCTGCCTTTTCAGTACACTGACAAGCATCCTCATTGACCCGGATTACTTCCGACTACTTTCAAAGCTCATCGTTTGCTGCTGGACATTGTCTGTCACTTCAATCACATTCTCAATCTCTTCGTCATCATTGCCAAAAACGAACATTAGCAAAAGGGAATCATCCATGCTTGGCGGGTTGTTGCTGCTGCTGTGGCGTCAGATGATGGTGATGACTGCTTGTGATGACGTCGTAGTGCTGCGTTACTGCAGTAACCACAATGTGTGCTGAGCACACACTTTGGGCAGTACCACATACTGCAGCAGCAGAAGAAGAAGAAGCAACAGAGGTGGCGGCAAAAAAGAAACTGAAGAAAGAAGATGAACTGGGGAAAGGGAGAAGTGGGAGTGTCGGCTATATTTCCATTGCTGCAATTGTTGCTGTAGTGGAAGTACTGACGAAAGGGAAAGTGGTTGCTGTAGTAGTGGTGGTGGTAGTGGTGATGGTAGTGGTGGCGCATGCCAACACACAAAGTCTTCCTTTCCAAATACTGCAGCTCTCTCACTCTCACTCTTGTTCAGCTTGTCGCCAAACTAGAAGAAGACTTTTTTCGTTTTCCCTTGTTCGATTCGTGAGACTTCGCCTCAGCAGAAACTACCTTTCCTCTGGAGCAGCCATGGAAGGGGACCATAACAACACCGACGACAATCGCTCTAATCTGGGCAATCACCAGGACCAGGATCAACAACACCAGCCCTCACCAGCCTCCACCACAAACGAAGTGATGCCTCTGTCTAACCTTGGCACTATGAATCACTTATCGCCTTCTCTGCCCGTGCCCCAGCCACAGCGTTCACCTCAGAATGATCAGGTATTTAGTACAGCGTCCAATGTCCAGCAGCCTTCTCCTCCGTTGCCGTTGCCGCAGCCATCACCGCCACAACAGCAGCTGCAAACCTATCAGCATCTTTTGGGAAACAGCCAAAAAGCAAATCAGCTAGCACTGAGTATTTTAGAAAGCAACCTCAACGAGAATGCGCAGATTTATCGGGCGTTTTACGAAAAAGAGCAGAAAATGACGTCATGCTTGAAACGGCAAAAGGATGAGCTAGAGAAGAGAAATGCCGTTTTGCAGCAGCAAAATGATAATCAAGAGAGAATCATTGCTGAATTAAGTCAAAAATACCTTAATGATCAGCAAACCATCACACAACTGAACAAAAAAGTTGAAGAATTAGAAATTCAGCTTCTCTTTCAGAATGTTTTGAGTAATGACAATCTGGAAAACTGTGTTACGCCGTCACCGTTGCTGGAAAATCAGCAGCAGCAACAGAATCAGCAACTGCAGCATCATCTGCAAAATCAACAGTTGCAGAACCAGCAATTGGTCCTGAACCAGACTTCTACTACATCTACTTCTACTGCTCTCCCCTCTGATGATCATTCCAGTCATGGTTATTACCTAAGAGCCAGGTCTTCATCTATTTCAAGCGCAGCAACAACATCTAACACTACTATGGCATCTTCTTCAGTGGTTCTGCCTGTTTCCGGTAACAGAAGAGGTTTGTTCCTTTTTACCCTAAGCAGACAAATTCAGTTATTTAATCATTTTCTTCTCTTGCAGATGCTGCTGTTTCTAATGATACTTCTTCAATGAACATCAATAGTTCTGCTGTTGAGACTGGCAATATGATTTCAGCTGAACCGAGTGGCTTTCAAAAACAAGTTACCAGAGGGCGAGGTAGGCCAAAGAAAAATCAAGGAACTACTGCCTCAGAAACTGCCTTAGCAAAAACAACCAAATCAAAGAAAGTGGCAAAAGTGCCCAGGTTGTCTGCAATGGACGACGATGAAAACGTCAGCAATCTTCTTTCTCCTGCTCACCCTCAGGCGAACATCAACAACAATCTACTGAGACCATTTTCATCATCGCTTGAAACCCTTGGCAATCTGATTGTATCTTCTACTTTCTTTCCTACTCCTCCCCAGGAGAGCATTGTCAATGGTGATGGGCATGGTGGACATGCATCATCATCATCACCATCAACTGGAGCCACTGGAAATCTAGCTCATCTTCCTCCAACTCTCACTCCTGCTTTTACTTCAACTTCTCCTTATCCTCAGCAGGAAAACTCCGGCATTGATAGATTATTGCCGGAACTTGGATCGCTACCACCATCACCAATTAATGAAATAGTAAATACCTTAATGGGCGAAGGTTATGATGCCAATAACTTTCCCGATGCATTCGAAATATAGAACTTTTTGTCCCAAAAATAGTGTACAGCGTCTACTAAACTTGTTATACACTCAACATTTTATACCACATCTAGCAGCCATCAAAACCAATACCCATCTTTACACTAGGTGTTTTGTTTACTTTGCCACGTTCACTTTCTCCAAAATCACAAGAACTTTTGAAAACTGATATACAATAAGGATGAAAAAGTTTTGATGTCAACAATGATGGTGAGTAATAGTAATTTTGGGATTTTCTCTGCTCTTTCACTTCAAAACTGAGTTTCTCTAATGAGTTTTTGTTTTTTACTTTTCAGAACACATCAAACCAGTCCACACTTACACTCTCTCTCTACATTTTATCTACTTTTTTGTAGTTATATTGTACCTTACTTTCAAATATTTTATTTCACACGTTCTACTACTGTTTGTTTTTTTAATATTCTTACCAGATTGATCACCCGAGCAATCTGTGTCTAGCTTTCTTTCTACTTTTTCTCTTTCTCTCTCTCTTGTACTTTTGCTCACTTTATGTTAAGCATTCAATCTATCTATTTATTATTCTATCTATTTATTTATCGCTACCTGTATACTACCAAACCTCTAAGATAAGAACAACACCCACAAATGCCCACCATAATCTACACACTTATTACAGCTGTTCAGGCTATGCTTTGCTTCTCACATTTAAAGTTGCGCTAAAAATTGCTGCTGTTTTTGTTGTTTCTTTTCTATTTTTTGTGTTTTTCAACAAACAGATCTATCATCACTACTACCTAGCTTGTAAGCTACTATGTCCACTGCAAACCACTGTCTATATATCTACTTTTTTTATCAAATAACGGCTAAATAAAGGTGTTTTATTGGCTTCTCTAACTAAAAAGGCATTAATCAACGTCATAAACAATGGGGGAAAATTGTTGGTCGACAAAGCATCCCATTCAACTGTTGCCAAGCCTACCAGTTCTTAACAATAAGTGCGTTAATGCCCACTGACGCCCAACATTTGTTTTGCCTGGCCAATCACTAACTGACACTCGCACATTTTGTTACGCACTTACATTACTTATTATTAGATGCACTGATTGCACTGTCAGTCAATCAGTCAGGCAGTGCTTGCAACCAAGACAATTACTTCTTTGGCCATCACAGTCACCAATAGTAAGTTTGTTTCATAAATCTTCAGGTTTACACTTCTTTATTTCTCCTGGTTATTGCTGAAAAAAGTTGACCATTTCTTTTATTTCATTTTTCCTACACACAGATCGACACACAGAGCTTGACAATGGAAGACGATGACGTCAAAGATCAGATTATCAGCTACCACATCGGCAATTCGGTAAACGGGCTCAAGGCACTTTCTGGCAACCGAAACTTGGTTCAGTCAGTTCAAAAAACTCAACCCAAGGAGAACTTCATTTCTCCCAGACGGCAGACATTGAGAGGCAAATTTGGCAAACTGATGTTCCCCTTCAGCAATCCTTCAAATTGCGCCAACAGCACTTTCAGCATAATCGACCAAATTGAGCAGGCTCGAGTCAAAAGTAAGCGCCGACTTGAAGTGGCCGTCAAGGAGCTGTGCGAGCAGTCGGCCAAAATGCTGGAGGCGCTCACTGAAAAGAACCGCCAAAAGGCTCAACAAAAACTGGCCAACTTGAACACCGAGACGGAGCGTTTTTATCAGTTTATCAACCGCCTCAGTGAACAGTTTGCCCAGTTGAACCCATAAGCAGATCGAGCTGCCCAACTGGATACAGACTTTGTGCCCACGGCCATCTACATTCCATCAATGTTGAAAGTTTTGTCCACAACAGCTGAGATGCAACTTGAAACGGAACGCGTAAACAGCGCCGAGTATTGCTATGAAAGACGTACTTTGGCAGCAGTTATTGAAGAGAAGGAAAACGAGAAAAATGAAGAGGATGAGTTCGAGTTTGAGCACTGACCTTTTTGTCCTCTCTGGACCTTTTCCCTTCAACTTCAAATGCAAGTCCTGTCCAGCATTTATCGTCGTCCACAAATCCTGAGTATGTTAAAGAGTTGCTGGCAAAAATTGGAGACCGCCTGACGCCTCTTCAAAACTACGCCTTTATCGCTAATGGAGATTTTGGCAGTGGGTCACAAGGAACGGTCCACCAGGCCACCAGGCTGGAAGCAAGCAAAAAGGGGTCTACTACCATTGTTTTGAAGGTGTATCTGATCACCGCTTGCAGCTTTTGGGAAGTCATCACCGAGGTCACTTTCATTGCGAAAAGCGAAACTGTTTTACGTCATCCGAACATTCTCACCCCAGTCGATGTTCACTTTTTAAGTCAAAAATGAGCTTTTAAAGCGACTACCACTTTTACATGGCGCTGGCTTTTGAGCCAATGATCGATAGAAGTCTAGCCGACTACGTCTCAAACCACTGGCAGGAGCCATTTGTTGCCTGTCTGATGTTGCAGCTGCTGCTCGCGTTTAGCTATCTTCACTCAAAGGTATGGGGGTGAATGCTGATGATAAGTTGATAAGCTGATAATCAATAACAAAACTGTTATTATGTAGGGCATAGTTCACAACGACGTCAAGCCTGGCAACATACTGGTCGGAAATGGCACAGTGAAAATTGCCGATTTTGGAAAGGCGATGTATCTGGAGGAGGAACTGCAGGAAGAAGGAAAGCCAAACAAGAATGGCACCATTCTCTACACCGCCCCCGAAATGGCTCGGGCCCGACTGAGAGACGACAACTCAAAGAAAGAATTGTCCACTTCCATTGATGTAAGTGTTTAAAAAGCTTATAAACTATAAACAATTTACAAACTTTCATTCTATAAACTTCAGATTTGGGCGCTGGGCGCCACACTGTATGAGCTGCTAGAAGGAAATTACTCTTTTTACGAGTACGACAAGTTTAGTGTTCTGTCGGTCATCAAAAACCATGGCCTCTATCTGACAAAAGATAAAGAATATTCACCAACATTGAAAAGCTTCTTCTCACTGTAAGTTCAGAAGTTAATTAGATATGCCCTTTTAACACTTTTATTTATTGTTGACTTTTGCAAAATACGCGCACATGTACGCATTCAAATTGTAGACTGACGCAGATCAAGCCTGCTAATCGACCCTCTGCTGATGCTTTTCTCGCCGATCCATTTATTGCCAAAGCCAGCACTCCCAACGAGTTATCTGTTTTTATCAAAAAGCTGAAAGGAGGATATAACTGACCATCCAATTCTATTTTTTAAGTATTGTTTATTTGCCTAAATAAATTGGCAACATTGTACTACTGAGTTTAATTTACAAAGCACATTTTATTAAATTCAATACAAAATATTCAAAATAGTAAATTAGATTGAAAGTTTAAAAACCGATCATTTGTTCAGTGGGACCATAAATGTCTTGACTTTTGTAAGTAATCCGCTGTGACGGCAGTCCAGTACTGTAGGCTACTATTTTCAGCAAGTCTCGATAACAGGCAGCGACTTTTTCAGTTTCCAGACCAGAAACAGCATTGCAACTACCACATATGTGCGTATCTAAGTGTACAGATTTCAAGTTGGGCATGAGGTGGCCAATATTCAGCCAGCGAACTTGATCGTGAGAATTTGGTTTAAATAGTTTCACCTCCAAATCAAGCGTTTGTACTGATGCGAGCTGCTTTTCCACTGTAAGCATGCAACCAACTGGTCCCGGCAGAACGGCCATATTGCGGCCTCTATCATCCATCACAGAACTAAAAGAGATAATGATGCGCAGGTGAAAGAGCTTCGGAAGGTTGCGACTCATTTCAGAAAATATTCGAGGAAGGCCGTTTGAAAAACAGAAAAGTGTTACTGAGACCAGATTGGGACAAATGCCGCCAAGTACTTTCCAGTAATAACCT